AAGAAAGGGACCAAACAGAACATAAAGGGACAGAGGAATGGAATGTTAATGCCATTGTCAGCTGGGGACCCCTGGAATCCCGGAGACCCTGCAGGAAACTCTGGGGGGCAACCTAGTTTCATAACCGCACTAAGATGGCATTTGCCGGCGTCACGCTCATTCTCAAGCACGGAAGTGGAGTTTTCCAGGGGCTACATGACACGTGGTGTCATCAGCAGATTAAATACAGAAGCAGATCCGAGGATCCAGCTGCCTCCTATTAAGCCAGACATTAAAGAGATTTACAAAAATGGTAACACAACGCCACTCCTCTCATTCGATTACATTGCTTTGGAACAACTAGCTATTTTTTGTGACCCTGTAATTTTATGAACAGGAAATGGGTTTGTTACCGTTTTCAATGCCTTAAGAATACATTTAGCATTTCTCAGTTTTAATTACTAATAGCGATTCGTGAAAACCACAACAAAGAAAGCAATTTCAGTCCGGCTTCTTGGTGTCAAGAAGCCAAATACTCTCACAGACACCAGGTGAGAGTGGACAGGGCAGAAGCGCCTTGGGGAGCAGCGGTGAGAGGTCAGGGTTGAGTGTCAGGTGGGTGTCATCGGGCCCCTGCCTGTGGGTCTTGGGCTAAACCCTTCACTCTGAGCCTCACTGGCTTCAAATGAAAACATGGTTCCGCTCCATGGGGCACTAAGTGAGAGAGGAGCAAAGCACCGGCACGCAGAAGAGGAGACGTCGGGGTGGCAGACCCCTTTGGGGTCTGTCCTGCCTGCCCCTCATGATCGACGAGCTCTCTCCAGAGCACTGTCCGGAAGTTGCCCGTCCGCTCACAGCTGGCTCAGCAACCACAAACCTCCCTGCCCCAGGCCAGCAGCACTCACCTCTACGCCGGGGGTCCCTGGTGGTCCCATGGGTCCCTCATCTCCCTAGAGTTGGGAGACACAGAAGGGACTCAATTCAATGGGACTTTAGGAAGGAGAAGGGGCAGAGATCAACCCTCCTGGGCCAATGGAGGCCTACCCCCCTGCCTGGACCACCCAAGGCACTGGCGCCGCGAGTCATGGCCCACAGGGCAGGCCACGCACACAAGGACTTCCAGAACCCTCTGAGTGTGGTCAGCCCAGGGTCATGGCAGGCTGGGTGGGAAAAGCAAAGCTGATGCCGTGAGAATAGAGCCCCAGACTACTGCTGGGGGCAGGGCGACGTCTGTGTGTATCTGGGCACGTGATGAACTGATGCGCCTGACCCAGCGGCGGGCCTGCTTCCCCAGTGGCAACGTGCGTGTGGACACACGCACATGGCCGAGCCAACCCTCCCTCCACTGTCCCCTTCCCTTCTGGCCCATGGAGATTCTCCAGCTCCAACCGGCTCGTGGAGCCCACGTGACTGTCCATCATGAATGAAGCGCATCTCGCCACCTACTCCTGAGCGGGTTGTGCGGCCCCCGGGGCTGCGTCCCGGCGGCTCCCGGGGGACAGGAGTGAGCACCATGGGGTCTGTGTCCCGGGCTTTGGGTCTAAGCAGGCCTGGGTCCG